TCTTAACTGGACAGACTACAGGGGGCTCTATCTGGACAGATTACAGTGGTCCTAATATTGATAGATTTAGGGCTCTATACTAGACAGACTACAGGCTGGGGCTCTATACTGCGACAGACTACAGCGGCTCTATATGGACAGACTACAGTGTCTCTATACTAACAGACTACAGCGCTCATACTGAACAGACTACAGCGGCTCTATACTGGGACAGAACAGTGGTCCTATACTTACAGGACTTTAGGGGCTCTATACTAGACAGACTACAGGCTGGCTCTATACTGGACCGACTACAGCGGCTCTATACTGGACAGACATACAGTTCTCTATAACTGAACAGACTACAGCGGCTCTATACTGAACAGACTACAGCGGCTCTATATGGACAGATTACAGTCTGTCTCTTATACTGAACGACTACAAGCGGCTCTATACTGAACAGACTACAGCGGCTCTTATACTAGACAGACACAGGGGCTCTATACTGGACAGACTACAGCGGCTTATACTGAACAGACTAAAGTGGCTTATCTTGACGACTACAGTGTCTCTATATGAACCAGACTACAGCGGCTCTATACTTGAACAACTACAGCGGCTTCTATACTGGACAGACTACAGCGGCTCTTACTGAAACAGACTAAAGTGGCTCTATCTGAACATGACTGAAGTGGCCTCTATTACTGGACAGACAGACTAACCAGTGGTCCTTATTAATGAACAGACTACAGAGGTCTATACTGAACAGACTACAGGGGTCTATACTGGACAGATACGTGTCTCTATACTGGAACAAGACTACAGCGGCCTTATCACTGAACAGACTACACGGCTCTGTATACTAGACAGACTGCAGGGGCCTTTACTGGGACAGACTACAGCGGCTCTATACTGAACAGACTAAAGTGGCTCTATAACTTACAGAAAACTACAGGTCTCTTTAACTAAACAGACTACAGCGGCTCTATACTGAACAGACTACAGCGCTCTATACTGGACAGACTACAGTGTCTCTATACTGAACAGACTACAGCGGCTTCTATACTGAACAGACTACAAAGGCTCTATACTAGACAGACTACGGGGTCCTTATACTGGACAGACTACAAGCGCTCTATACTAGACAGACGCGGGGCTCTATACTGGAAGACTACAGCGGCTCTATACTGAACGAAAAGTGGGCTCTATACTTGACAGACTACATGTCTCTATACTGAACAGACTACAGCGGCTCGATACTGAACCAACTACATCGGCTCTTACTGAACAGACTACAGTGTCTCTAAACTTGAACAGATACGCGGCTCTATACGAACAGAATACAGCGCTCTATACTAGACAGATACAGGGGCTCTATACTGACAGACACAGCGGCTCTATACTGAACAGACTAAAGTGGTCTATTTTGAACAGACTAAAGTGGCTTTATACTGGACAGATACATGGTCCTATACGAACAGACTACAGCGGCCTATACTGGACAGACTACAGTGGCTCTATACTAGACAGACTACAGGGGCCTATATGGACAGACTACAGCGGCTCTATTTGGACAGACTACAGGGCCTCTAACGACAAACTACAGCGGCTCTATACTGGACAGACACAGTGGCTTATACTAGACAGACTACAGGGGCTCTATACTGGGACAGACTACAGGCGGCCTCTATACTGGACAGACTACAGTGTCCTATACTGAACAGACTACAGGGGCTCTATACTGGACAGACTACAGCGGCTCTATACTGGACAGACTACAGTTGTCTCTATTACTGAACAGACTACAGCGGCTCTATACGGACAGACTACCAGCGGCTTTATACTGGACAGACTACAGCGGCTCTATACTGAACAGACCTAAAGTGGCTCTATACTGGGACAGACTACAGCGGCTCTATATCTGAACAGACTACAGTGGTCCTATACTGGAGAGAGTCTAGGGGCTTTTTTCTGAACAGACTACAGCGGCTCTATTCTGGACGGACTACGGTAGCTCTATACTGGACAGACTAAAGTGGATCTATACTGAACAGTATATGGCGGCTCTATACTGGACGGACTACGGTAATTCTATACTGGACATAAATTGTCGGAATGCCACTTGATAACATTTTATATTTATTATTTCTGTTCTACTTCATGTTGTCAGATTTTTCTTAGAACTTCTCAATTGAGGGTTTATGAACTGAACAAACTTTGTTCTTCCTATGTTTTTTCCAAGTAAGAAAAACCACCGACCCCCTTAACAGGGCATTTTCTAATAATATAATGTCGGTGAAACCGAATAAAAATCTGCCAATCATTGACGATAATTGTTCATCCTGTTTCTCTATTCACTCCTTCCTGGTCTAGAACTGAAATAATTATAGGAAAAGATAAATAGTTTTCGCTGTTGACGTTTAATTGTACTTTCTTCCTAATTAAAGTGATGTTTAAACGACTTGTCATGTGAGTTAAAACAATTTAACAACGCTTTTTATTAACATTATAAAAATAACTAATCTCAGGTATGAAATTGTTCAGATAACTTCAAGCGTTTGCAAAGAGTGATATTTCGTTTGCATCCATTACTATCAATAAAGCATCTTTTTCAATTTCCGTTACCAAATTTTGATGTATTCTATCTAGCATCATTTTCATTTTCCAAGACAGGAACTGGCTTAAACCTTCTAAAAGACACATTTTGATACAGAAATTTAATAACTTTTCATTGTTTAGAAATGTTAATCATGTATTTAGTTATAGAAAGAGCATCGAAACACGAGGCTATCTGATTTGTACGATGAGGCGTAGCCCCCGAGTATAAATCAGATTGCCGAGTGTTTTGATGTTCTGTCTTTTTTGTATCATAGTCAAACATAAAAACACTTTCCCTGATAACACAATATGAAACCCCACAAAAAAGTAACCAATGAACGAGCATCTGAATATGATATTTCCATCGCTATCCGTTTCTCTGTCGTCACAATATGTAAACCCCAGACAAAACGAACCAATCAATGGGCACTAATACCTGCACTCTAATTAACGCACTGTGCATGTATATGTATACGATTTTCAACAGAAATGTCCCCAAACTATGATACAAATTATGTTTTGAGCATGAAAAGTAGTATCGCTGAACGTGCAATTATGTGTCGTAAAGGTAGAAAAGTAAAAGTAAACAACGTGGTATTTTGACATATTTACTATAGTTATACGAATTACTAACAGAGCAAATTTATGTTTATCTTTTTGTAGCAATATACAAAAAAGAACAAATAAGGCTTACTGTTCCTTAAAGCGTAGGTGTGGAATAGAAGTCATTGTACATTCATAGTCCCAACTACACAACCAATTTTAGTTGAGACCATAGGCTTGGTTTAACAGCTATTGACTGGTCCTATATAATTTAGTATTTACAATGTGTAATAACCTAGTAATCTTACTCTCAATACTTCTTGCCATATGTCTTCAGTAAAAGTGTTTTCCACATAAGTGTTTAGAATTTTAATTGTAGCATATTTTAGTTTAAAGCCCCAGTCACATAAGAGCTTACGACCACAAAAGACCAGTTGACGATCACCAGTGACCACTGGTCGCGGACAATCTTTAAAACATCTTACGACGGTCATCGGTGATCTTTGATTAGTCGCAGGTTATCTTATTTAGGTCCCTACGCCCAATTCAGTCGTAGAGGTTTTTAAGCTTGCATAAAAACCTCTCTACGATCAAACAGGCTGCTAGTGATCTTATAAGGTCTTAGGTTGTCGCACGATCGTCGCTCGAAAGTGCGACAATCTAACGACAGTCTTTATAAATTGCCACTAGTCACTGTCTTTAGTAATCGTGTGATGGTCGTGCGACAAGTTGTAGGTGATCGCATAACAGGTCACCGGTAGTTGTAAATAGTCCCAGGCAATCTTGAGACTATCGCACGTTTGCTGATAACCTGCCGTGCGATTGTCAATGTTGATTGGTCAGAAGTAAATTTATTTGTTCAAAGAGGGCTTGGTCGCAGACAATCGCCGGTGTTCGTCGGTTTTACACGTCGCCGGTAGTCGCAAGTAATCGTAAGCTCTAGTGTGACTGGGGTTTAACGTATTTTACATTTACAAACATAAATAGATCTAGTCACTGTTACCTGCTTGCACAGTGATATACGGACTGATTCGTCATTGATTAATTGATGTATATCGCTTCTCGATTAAAGCAAATACATTGGGGCCAAAAAAGCATAATAACACAAAATTTAAATTTCTTACATAGATCAGCATGGGCACTTTAAACAGGGAAAAATATGCAAATGATAATTAAGAAATATACTCGAAATTAACTTAATAATCGTATTTTGTGCTATTCCCAGCCCGATTTGAATGAAAGCGTTGCAATTAATATAATGATTCTGGCAATACAGAGTGAGCAAATAATCTGAAATTTTGCACACAAATTAAAGTTTGCCTGGTACACGTCAGCTATTCAATTATGAAGCTTGAAGCTGATTTGTCTTGAACATATGGAGTTATAGCCTGGACAAAGATTCTAAATTCCAAATTAAGCATGGAAAACTGTAACAAAAGGCAATCAATACTTCCGATAATATGATATGATATAAGGGTATAAGGGTCCCTCTATCGACTAATAAAATTGTGCCGGCCCCGTCATGTTATTTCTGTAGATTATTATTATACTTAATGCTTAAATATGTGCAAACACAAAACGTTTTAAGCTGCATTCAATTAAGGTATGAATTGTTTACTTACTTAAATGTTTTCAAGCTTTTAACCGCTACTTTCATAGCAATTTGAAATTGAATTATCTTTTAACTTGACACAGGAAACTATTTTGCCTTTAAATTTTGTAAGTTGAATATAATGTTGTTTACTATTTTATTCCGTCGCATTTTTTTCTTTTCGTCATTCCTTAATTTTGGACGACTTGTATATATTCTATGAAAAAGGAACGTATAAAACGGAACCACTTGATGTCAAGTGATACACTTCAAATTTTCTTGTCCAACCTCACTTTCCTTATTGCTCATTACCATTTTAACTGAATGCCTATTAACCACCAGCAACGATATTGGGACATTATTGTACGAGGTGTATTAATTACTTAAACGTTGTTGTTTCATATGGTTTTGGCTGTGAGCAAGTTTTAAAAAAGCAAACTTTTGGCTTTTATCGCGCATACTAAAATGTTCTTATTGTACATTTTTATTTTTTTTGTTACCATCTCGACAGTAAAAAGTGAAGGGGGTGCAATTTGTGACTGTCAGGATGTTGGAATATTAAAGGATATAGTACAACAAGTTCTAATAGAACAACGAATGGAGTCTGCTAGAATTAGTAGATTAGAAGAAAGACTAAAGGCGTACGAGAGAACTGGACCAATTCCAAATGGTATAGTTATGTTTCTATTTTTTTAAAAATCGTAGAGAACATTTTTAATATAATCAGATGCTACGTAACTACGATGGTCTACGTCAAATAAATCAGTTACAGAGCTTTAAACTTCCCAAGCAAACTCGCATGTTTTTATTTGGAATATGCCTAAAAAACGAACATTTCCAATGACAAAAAATGAAAACTTGACCATTGCAACACCTAAAGTACTTTATGATGTTATTCAGAGCTTTTTGTCCTACTAAAAGTATTATCTATACATTTTAGATCGTCTAGAAAAGTTAGAACAAAACGTGAAAGATATCAGTATGAAATTCAATGAAACAGTCACCGAGGCAAAGAATAAAAACAAAGGATTCAATCGAGGCATTGGTGCCATTGTGAAGAGGACGCTGATCTCGGAGAAAAAAGAAAGACAAAAATTAATTTCAAACATGAATGAAATAGTAAATGAACATAAGGTTATCATAGAAAAATTCAAAGTTGCAATTAACAATACCATAGACGAACGTTTCGAATATATACATGCTAAGCAAGTCAAATACAAGAATGAAATTAAAGAATTTTTAGATGATACGGAAAACGATACTGCCAGTTTTATCGAAACTGTATTTAACAACATCTCTATATTTAAAGATAAACTTATGACAGACGTTAATGGAAATCATAATAGTATCAAAGAACTGAATAACGATATTCAACGCATTTCATCAGATATTGTTTCAGTAAATCAACATGTAGGGCATAACAGAAATATGGTAGATACTCTGAGTAATCAAGTGAAAGAAAACAAAGGTAGGCCTTAATCGATTTCTGTCTCACAATATCATAATAACAATAAATACACATATATTTTACATTTCTTACCGTCCAAATTATAAAATAGTATATTAAACATATATATTTCAAATGGAAAAGATAATTATTAAGTTTTAAGTAGTTTTAAGTTACATTAACATTTAAAAAGCTATGCGCTGTCGTTGGCTGTTTGTAAGTTGTTTAGCACATAGTGGTAATTGTTAAATCTCAAAGTGTAGCTTATATTTATTCCTTGTATTCCCCCGTTCTGTAATCAACGTAAATGTTTCACAGTAAAATGCTTAATCATCATAGAAGACCTTGTACTGCATCTTACTTTAGTGGCTTTTAATTGATTAAACCCATGGCAACAAATATTTGGAATAACAACCGGGCTCGTAACAAATTATCAGAGAAAATTATTCGATTTATTACTAATTTTCTTGTCAATATGATGATACTTTGTGTTCTTTCAGAATGGGAACAGTGGTCTTCATGGGGAGAATGTTCTGAACTGTGTGGTGCTGGACTAAGAGAACGAGTAAGGACGTGTGCATCACCATTTGGTTGCATAGGCAACTCGAAGGATTTCAAAATATGCAATATTGAAACTTGCAAAGGTATTTCTACTGAAGAAAATCTTTGTAATATGTCTATTATATATAAAGAAACATTTTACACGATGTAAGAAAACAGCGGGCAGTATTTTAGAACATTTGAGGTTATTAAGTAACAGATTTCGTTGAAAGTGTCCGAATTTTTACTTTTTCCTTTCTAAAAGAGATTTAAGATTTACATAAATATGAGATTTACATGAATAATGTTTAAAAAAAAAAGAAGTTGACCCTTCAGGACACTAAGTTTCAATGCAGTTGACAGTATTCTAACCTATTTAGATACTCTTTAAGGCGATGTTAATGCATTAGGATGGTCATACCGTAGGTCAATGTTTTCAGGTCTTTATATGGCAAATTTAATAGGTACTATCTTTACCATGATTGATTGTCTTTGTTCCGCAATTTATTGTTCTGCATTGATAATGATATATGTGTAAGCTATCGGATAGAACATTCTACAGAGCTTTTAATTCTATCAATAAACGAGTCCGAGTTAGACTGAACTACTTTACTACTTCGTTTATTTTTTAAATTTCCGATAAAAAATCTAATTTATTCAAGCAACTTGTCCGTATACTTTGCATGCCTGACCATGTCCATATTTAATTTAAGTATGTAAAAATATTGCTAAAGGCGAATTATTAATGAAAAAAAAAGTTTTAGTTTACTCTTCGACAAACGTGTTTTCATTGGAGTGAAGTTATAGTTATAGTATACCGACTAAACTGTTATCTGGAAAAATATACTTCCTTAGCAAAACCCGTGTGCAATTTCAATAAAGAAGAGGATATAATTCGTTTTTACTCATTTGTTGAAATAAGTGTCACATATTGTTAAATCTCAATATTTAATGTTGACAGAATACCAATTATCATGTATGATAACAGCACTATGTTTCTGTGAATGTAACACTCAATGAATACTTCGATGCTGTTTTATACACAACCCTTTTGTACATTGTTGTATGTAAAACAATTTCTTGTGTTACCGTCTTAATATGTGTCAGAACTCGAATTAAGCAAGACCTATCGAAAGACTTGTTGGTATTAATTTTTGTTACTCAGTTTGTTAATGCAAACAATTTCTGGTGCCAGAAACTTTTTTTCGCCAAAATATCAAAAAATACCCATCTCTTTGATAGTTTGTTTCTATATTTACATACAGTGCCTTGGTATGGAACATTATATGTTGAGAAATAACAGCAAATGAATAATCATTTTAAAGCACTTTTTAAAAAACATAGGGATTACTTTATTCGGGTTGTACAAATTGCTCAAAGGTGGGCTTTGTGATGGTATTTTGTATGCCGTCATCCGCAGTTCTTTAAAGGTATATCCTCCAAAGTTGCAAAATTATATTGGAATGGTCTTTAGCTGGTTTTCGACAAAATAATTGTCAATTGTTCCTATCAACCGCACTTGAAAATAACTGTAGCTAATATATAATTTACCTTAAAATGAACTTCCCTTAACAAAGACAATACCATTATCTTAAATATCAATGTTAGATATTTCTATTGTTTTTCAAAAGTAATATGAATAACGTCCAAGGGATTAGACCTAATGAGGTAAAACATTTTATTGTTGTTAACAAAGAAGTGAACATTGTGTATGTAAGTTCGATGCATATTTAATCTTCCAAGACAGGCAGGTAAATTCAAAATGTCTAAGTTTATAAGGTACTTTCCTTTTTCCAACGCGTAGGAATATTTTAAGAATAGTTGCCATGAAGTGTGAGATAAATTGATATGATAGTACAAACTATTTTATCAACTTTAAGAGATTTCTCTATGATTTTGTCATGTGAAAAAATTATTGTAATATGTTATTTTAGCATTAATTTGATATAAAGAAGATGTGCACAGTTAGGCATGGGCAGTAATATTAGATCATTTTGACAATGTTTATTATAATTTAAAACTGGTCATTTATCATGAAACATTATTGCATATATAATTTTGATTATTGTTTTAAATATTGATTGTATTCTTGAAGTTCGATTGGTTGGAGGATCAAATCAGTATGAAGGGAGACTGGAGGTATGGCATAATGAGTCTTGGGGGACAGTGTGCGATGACGGGTTTACAGCGCTATCAGCAAGTGTTGTTTGTAAGATGCTAAATTATCCACAGTAAGTAACAAACGATAATAATTTATTTCTATATATGTAGTCATGCGTGTTATATAGTGGATGTCTTATTAATCTTTTTATCTTTGAAATAAATTGATTACCACTTGATATACCAAGCAAATCAGGAACATAAAAATAGGGTAAACCAGTGCAAAACATAATTATACTAATCAATGGCAAAAATATTGACAATGGAAATTTAATTTTATCATACACTCCTTCAACGATGTTCTGGAACTGCATTCATTCCTTTTTTGCAAGTCCGTATTATTATGTTTATTTTTTCTGATGCACATGAACTAACCGTCAGATAATTAAATTCACGCAATACGTATTGGAAGAGCTTTCTTGATGGAAGTGTGTCCATCGATCGTTGTTTTTGAAACCATATCTCCTTTTAAACAACAAAGTGGATTTTGTCTAAATCTAACAAAAAAGGTCCTTTTGTGGTCCTCTTCAAAATTTATATAAACAGTTTAAGTCATATGCATATGGTCATAAGAACTACAATAAACTCTACAATGCCTCAGATTTTTGATATTTAGCTTGCTATATCAAACAGTAGACCTCTAAAGAAGTTTCATTTCCCCTTGTGATCATAAATTATCCGATCGAGTAACAACTTATACATGTATATAGTAAAACAGTTCATTGTTCTTTTGGCATGTAGCATTGTCAAAAAGACTTCTATAGAATTAAACATATAATAATTCATTCCCCTGGGTCACAAACGGTATCACCCACGACTCATGAAGTTTTTCATAGATGTGTATAGTAAACATAAATATAAAAATGTTTCTCAAAAACTAAAAAAAATTAAAACTGACATTGTATATGCTACACGTAGCATAACATTTTAGTCTCTTACAAAACTTACTTAAATCATGTCTCTAGGTAAAGAACTGGTCCCGCCTTAAGGTTAAATTATATTTAATAGAAGTTTATAGTAAACATGTCTGAAAAATCTTCTCTTCCGAAACTTCAGTGCTCATAGAAAACGTATTTAACATGTACTTGTGATCCTTAACAAAGTAACGAAAATTATTCCCTTGGGATCAAAATTGATGAAAACAGACTTATATTATATAAAAAAAATCAAATCGTCTTATCTAAATACAAAAATACTCAAAGCTTAGATATTTTCATGTAACATTGCTTAATTAACCTCTACAAAATTACATAAATCATGCAGCTTTGATAGAAAACAACATAAAACACCCTATGTATTTTTTTAGACTTTTACGTACATGTACGTACATAAACAGTTGATGAAATGAAAACCAACTGTTTGATGCTCAAAAGAAATGTATTTATTTTCAATGACAACACGTTAATATTAAATATATTTACTGATTGCATGTATGTTTTGTGAAACCCGACAATTATGATTTTGTTAAAACCCGACAATTATGATTTATAATTTTAGTACTAATCCTTTTGTATTTGGGTCCACACAATTCGGCGAGGGAACATTACCGATACATTTGGATGATGTTAGATGTACGGGAACAGAAATAAGCTTACCTCAATGCCAACATAGAGGATTTGGAACTCATGATTGTAGTCATGGTGAAGATGTCGGCATATCATGTACTCCTGGTAATTCTTTAAATATCATTAAAGTGACATATATTCTTTGGAATAACACATTTGTATTATCTTTTAACAATATCTTTGTAAAATTATATGTGGTTTAAACTCGTTTGGTGTGTTTTACCTTTCGAAAAACATAAGTAAATGTAGAGGATATCACCGTTTAGCGTGATCTGATAAACGATTTATTCAATTTAATTAAAAACCTATACCTCTCTTACTCTATGTTATCAAGCTTCATTCAATTGCTTGTCTACACTGGGTCATGGCTCTCTTTTTGACAAGTTACATAGCTGAATCTTTTCTTTAGAAATAAACTGTAATTCCTTGTGAATGATCGGAAAATTGATCGTTATATAGGTCACTCATTAGACTATCGAAACAGTTCCATAGCGTTACGATAAATTTTTAACATACTGATTTTAACTTTGTAAAAGATGCCCTGTTTAGTTGACTGTCAAGTTTCAGCGACCTTTTGAAACATTGCTGTCATTTTAAAAAGCGGTTGTTTCGTTGTAGCTTTAAAGAAAGCAGTAAGAAAAGTTGTTATGTTTTTTCATCGTTTAAAAGACAATCAAACTGCTCACTATAAACTTGAATGTAAACTACATGTATGTGGTTCAAATATATAATTCCATTAACATATTCGGTTTTTTCGTGTATGTGTATGTCGCTTAAGTAGAAGTCCGGTAGTGATCACTGAAAGAGAACCAAAACAATTCTAAAAATGAAATCAGTGTCAGTTTGAATGATACCTGAATATAAATTTCATCTAAAATTATTTCATCCATGGCAATATGTAGAAAAACAAAAGGTATCCTTCAATTCTTCAAATTTTGATAATAGAACTATCCTTATAGCAGATAAAACTGGTACTTTTAAATCCGCCAAACCGTTTTGTAGCGTACAGCTAGTTATCTTATCGAACCAAATGCAATCGTACACATAAATATTTGTACAACAAGTCATCAATTTAATCTTTGCACAAAATATTTGCTATGCAACTCAATGATGAGTTTCTACATAAGTACGTTGTAAGTAAAAAAAGGCAACTAACACTCACGGTATGGGTTTTGAACTTTTTTCACTGACATAAAATCAGTTACTGCCAATTTATCTTGAGCAGTTTTGTAACTATTGAACCTAAACTTCAATGATTTCGAGGAAATATGCGTACGACAGAGTCCCACATTATCCACACATAATTTGCAATTTAAATTGTAAAGAAATCTTACATTTTTATAAAAGCACTCACTCTGACATGTGTTTACGTAAAACTATTAAATACTAATATGTACGTACCATTCTATGTCGCTTAAAAAGTATCGTGCCTCCTATATACATTCGACCTGATGATATACAAATTGAGATAAATACATATTACATAGAGGATATTTGTTTAGTTCAGTGTAAGATCGGAATATATTTCACCGAGTGAGCACCAAAAGGTATATTTCACGAGTGGCGCAGCCACGAGTGAAATATGAACTTTTTGTGTTCACAAGGTGAAATATATTTTGATCTTACACTAAAACTAAACAAATTTTCTTTTTATTATATGCAAAATTCAAAACAGTGAAATTATCAAAGTGGTAATTTCACTGCTTCAAACAGTGAAATTACCAGTTTATATATCACTGATATATTTCTATAAACCACCGAAAAGCATGTAATAAATTGCTATTTAAGGAGCCTTTTCAGATTTACCTATAATTTGGCCAAAGTGAAAAGTAATTAGTAAAGGTCACTTCAGCATGAATTTGGTATAGACAATATGAAAATGTTTAATTTATCATAATCGCGAAAAATAAGATTATATACTTTCAACTAATCCATTATGGCCTGATTACAACAATCTGTGGGTTAAAGACGAAAACGTTGCTATACTTAATGAGTTATTAAACACATGTATAGAATATCCGTACCTTTTACAAAAATAATCGGCACAGTTATCAAGACGATTACACCTAAACCGGAAATCGCGATTTGTATCATCGGCTGGGCATATTTTCAATAATAAATTATTAAATTCATAACTATTATCATTGATATCAATTTTGAATTTATTCTTGAAGTTCGATTGGTGAATGGGTCAAATCAACATGAAGGGAGACTGGAAGTTTGGCACGATAATTCTTGGGGAACAGTATGTGATGATGACTTTACAGCGCTGTCTGCAACTGTTGTTTGCAATATGTTAAATTATCCACAGTAAGTCATAAAAACGAAATTAGCTTATTCCTCCATATGTTAGCATACATATAGTAAAGAACAGAATTTCTTTAATTTCAAATCAAGGGTATTACGTTGATAAGCAATGGAATGTTATGTGGCTCTTTTTAAAAAATGTATTCAAGAAACATAAACTCCATGCATTCCTTTGTCGCTAAACCGAAATTATCATGTTTACTGATGGAAAGGAACAAACCCTCAAATATTTAAAAGAAACATCGCCAACATTTAAACATAGAACTTTAACTGTATCCCCGAATTTCTTTTCAAACACAAATTGTCAACAAAACATGTATTGAATTAAAAACCTTCTCACAAAAATCGATATTGAGGTCATTTGTGTACACAAAGTGCTAAGAGTTGAACTATTGTGATGGCAGTATGTTCATCTCCCGTTGCTTCGTAAATAAATGTTTTGAATCAAAAAATCATTAACCATGGAATTGATTTTGATAAAATGTCACAGGAATGACTGTTTTTTGTCTGATGTATAGGTAAAATGTCCCAGATCGATATTAAGCATGTATCATCATCTATCAGTCCTCTTTAAAAGTTTAAATTATTCCATCGGGGTCATAAATGGTCTCCCACCCGGACCACTTCGTTCATAAAGACATATAGTGTAACACAAATTAATCTTCTTGTAAAGTCCTACCCAGAGCTTATATATTTAGCATGTAGCACTGCTTAGTATACTTTTACGTAAACGATTTACATCATGCCTTTTGGATAGATCATAAGTGGTCCTACATCGCCATATTGCTTTCAAAAAGTAATTAAATCATGCCACTGTGGGCAAAAAACAATTTGGCTCACCTTAGGGACAGTAAAAATAGGCTTAAAAGTCTACTACTCCGAAACTACAATGCTCAGAGCATGCATATCTGACACGAGGTCCTTAATAAAGTTATTAAACTTATTCCCCTTTTATCAAAGTTTGTTATGCAAAGTCAATATAGACTGTTACAAGAAAACAACTTCAAATCATCATGTTTGAAAAGTACAATTCATGGAGCTGAGATACTTGCATGTAACATTGCCTAATTAAAGTATATAAATCATGCAGCTTGGTAAAAGAATACACACAATGTGATCACATCACTTTTAAATAAACAAGAGAACTATTAATTTTGGTTTAGACTGCGACGGCAAAGTGCATTTAAAGTGACCTGAATATCCCAGATGTGATACAGTAATCAATAATTATATAACATGTTGAATGCATTTACATTTATTCCCTAAAGCCAACACACACACTCTTCAATTGTTTTAAAATATGCAAAATATATTCGAATGTTTAAAAGTAGAAATCAAGTTAAACAGTTTTGTTTGGTTTCAAAATAAATGATTTCATTTCCAATTCAAGTGATTGACTGATGTCATATATGACATGATAATAAACGACAGTTATATCATTTTAGATGAACACTTTTGCGGATGTTACCTAATTCAAAATTTCACCATTACATTTAAAGCTGCATGCCTCCAGATGACCAAAAATATTTCAAGAAAATTAAACTTGGAAAACCATGATAAAACTTTGAGAAAAGTAAACAAATCAAAGATTCAGGTGATAATTTATATCTTATGTGCAATTAATTTTGTATTTTGTAGTATTTATCACCATATTTATACCGCGTTACTAACGCAATAGGGGCTATTTATGCATATTTTGACCTCTTTTTGGTAATTAACGTGGATTTTAAATGCCGATTATAATGTGTCAAGTACTTTCTTTGTTCATTTCACAATATTTTACCTTTAAATACATTTTCAAAATTTTCATGAAAATTAGGATGAATCTGGAGGCGTACTGCTGTTGAAAACTGTTTTGCCTATGTTTAAGGGCGTGGACGGTAAAGTGCAAGGTCAAGGTGATATCAAACCAAGACTGCAACAATTCCACTTTTGCCGTTTTGTGTGTTCTTTGGGGGTTCCGTTTTTTCTCTTTTTTAGTGACAATCCTCTGGTATTTAAGTCCGCATACTTCGGCGCCGGAAAATGGCCAATACACTTGGACGATGTTGAATGTACGGGTACTGAGATAAGCTTACTTCAATGTCCACATAGAAGTTGGGGATCAAATAATTGTGGTCATGGTCAAGATGTTGGCATATCATGTACTCAAGGTAATCTTTTTTAAAAGTATTATTGAAAAGAAATAAATTTTTACAGTTTCATATCAAATCGGATATATATAGAAAAAAACGAGTCTCCTTCAATTTTTTACATAATGATGGTAGAACTATCATAGAGCAACAGAAACTGGCACTTTGACAGCATGTATGAAAGTAGTCATCTCTTTAAAAGTGTAGTAGTTTCTTTATTGATCTGTATTCACGGTGCATATCCATATCGGTACCCTCTTTGCGAAATCTGCTGAAAAGGTACCCTCTTTGCACATGCACAGGCCACTCTCTGCTAAAAACAAACCAGCGATGGATAACAAGCCAGTAAAATTTCAATATAATAAGGAAAGGAGGTATGACACGTGGAAAAGATGTATACCACGGAACACATAAATGTTTTATCTATGTGCTGATTTGTCATGTGCCCGTTTTTCATGTACTACAAATTCACAATAAGCTACAAAAAATCGACATGTCTTGCTTCGCCCATCACCTCGACATATTTTTTGGACTGACACATAGGTACCCTCAAGGCACGACATATGCTTTTATTTGCCTTAATCGTTAGGTATGTACTATTTCTTACTTTTATGTAAATATTTCATACTTCACGATTAACGCTAATAAAAGCATATGTCGTGCATTGAGTGTACCTATGTGTGTTTAAAAATGAGAGGGTACCTGTGATATAAAAATTCAAATGAAGAGAGGTAGCCCGTGCCGCTGCAAAACCGAAAGTAGGGTGTTTTTATGAATTTTACATTAATTTTTGACAATGCACTGCTATTTGTCCGAAGATGATATGTAAATGAACATATTAAATATGTATGATTCATATATAATCAAGCCACAGGTTCATTTTAGCCCGAAACGTATGTCGAGGTGATGGGCGAGGTAAGACATGTCGATTTTTTGTAGCTTATTGTGAAGTTGCAGTACATGAAAAACGGGCACATGACAAATCAGCACATAGATAAAACATTCTAGTGTTCCGTGGTATACATCTTTTCCACGTGTGATACCTCCTTACCTTATTACAATGAATTTTTACTGGTTTGTTATCCATCGCTGGTTTGTTTTGAGCAGAGAGTGGCCTGTGCATGTACAAAGAGGGTACCGTTTCAGCAGATTTCGCAAAGAGGGTACCGATATGGATATGCACTGTGGTATTGGTATTTGTAATCATAAAGCTCACTGTTTTGAACAAATTCATATCACGTTGGTTGTCCTTATAATCTGTGGCAAGAGTGTTTTAAAGCAAAATTAAAAATTACGAATAAGATATTAAGATATGTTATAAACTCATACAGTTGAAACATTTTTGAAAATGTACATAGATAAATATCGGTAAATAACAAAATAATGGCATAAAATCAATGGCATGCGGAAAGTTGACCATATTTCTGATTTGATTCCGTTGATTTTATTTCAATAGTTTCATTCAATTTTTGTATACACGACGTCAAAGTTGACCATCAAAGCCCGTTTTTGAACATGACGTGGTTGCGTATCCTTGGCAACTGTTACGGGTATTTCAACGTCATTGGCGGACAAAATATCTAAAATTCTAGAGCATTCGACGGAAATTATTTTTTAATATAGGGTGATATAAAATTTATTGTTTTACGCCGAAAAATGTTTGATAAATGGAAAGAATACTGTAAATTTTGTGTAAAATTTGACGTTCAGTTTAGCCTCATTTTTCGGCTTAAAACCGGCTTATTAAAAAATTCCTCAAAAAAATTTTTGATTTTTTTTCTTTAAACGTCCTGTAAAATGTATATTTAGTCAAAATAACTAAAAAAAAATAGGGGGTCACCGACTCAATCTTTCCGGTACACGTGACTTTATTTTCCCCACCCCTATGAATAAAAGTCACGCTATCACAGGGCGTTTATTATATTGATGTTATTAAAACGATTGCCCTGTGTCAAAATCCCGCTATTAACGGCATTTTACGCCATCACGACCACTGCTGAAAATATATGGATACAATAAAATGTACGAGATAGATAGACTTGAGAACTTAGGTGTACGGGACCGTATATAATGCAATACGTATATGACTAATATGCCGTGATCCGTACACTCGTAATATGCGGGAACTTTAAATGAAGTTCGTATTTAGTAAGATACGTATTCTTTTTAATTACACGGTCAGATATTATCAAAATATGATTTTCTTGTAAATACAGATTTTGTATATAAAACAGAGAATAAAGATGTACTTCATATTTCCCACTTTCTACAAGAGGAAAAAAATAATAGTCTGACCTGACATTTGTCAGAATAACATTAAGTAGTAAAACTTTGAGTTAAATGTAATATTTCTCGGTTTTAATAACATGTCAGTTGCATACTGATTAAATGGTCGGTGAACAGAACATATAAAACATCGACAGATTCTCGACAGTGTCCGTAGCATGTACTGATAGAAAAATGACAATAAATATTGAAATATCTTTATTTTGTATAAAGATTTACAACGCAACACTCCTTTGTGCAACCGCCGGTTCCCGTATATGTTCTGCTTAACATCCGCAGACGTTTACAGCGTTTCATTATATTTCATGTTTAAAGTTCTGTTTCTAAATTTTCCTGTTCAAAATTAATTCTTCCATAAATTTGGCTAAACAGTGAATAATGAATATTTGCAAAGGCCGATTTGATAGTAATGTTTTTAATACAGCGTTTATGGTGAATCCTCAATTAATCGTTATTTTTAACATTATGATGTTCTAAAATGATAACCAAAACCAATTATTTAGCATATATCCTGTCAAATTGTTGCGATAGTTTGTAATAGCAAATGAAATTCAAATTCTGGTTTTTAAAATACATATCACTCACGGTATATCACTCATACTGTGGGTAATGCAGAATGTATAGATTTGCAGAATTTCTTGTAGACTACGTATTAATTTATGATTGAAGTTCCGTAAATTTCTAAATTTACATAAAAATATATATTTGCTTTTTTTTCCTTATGGCATATTTCTCGATTCAAGTTTATAAATCTAATTGTATTGAAATATCAAAAAGTTACACTGCAATGATTACAGTACTCTCAGTTGTATTTCTTTGCGCAGCGTTTGTGTTGCCGTTGAACGCCTGACGTCATTTTCTTTACATGCGTCTGTTCACGATTCCTTATGAAGTTATTAATCATGCTTAAAAACAAGAAAAAAAAATTGTTTTTCTCAGCAAACATAAACGTCACAAAATGGAAATGTGTTAATATTGCACTTCGACCAAGCCCATGATAGTTAATTAGACAATTTTTGTTACATATCTTGCAAGTTTCGTACACTGCTGGCAGTTCCTTTTTGATCAAGTAACACGTTATATTGAAATGTACCCGTATTTAGACTTTACTAGCCGGGGTTCAAGTCTTTGCTTCTGTTTAAAAATCGGGTATATATCAAATGAATCAGAAATTGTGACCTGCTCGTAGGAAATGACGCGCATTTTAAGCGAATAAGCAAAATATCAACGCCTAAATTTTAAGCGAATAAGCAAAATATCAACGCCTAAATCCCAGGCTAAGATTTTAAATATAAATATGCTTTTCATCGTTAGGTCTCATTTTGAATTTTAAGAATGTGCAATGGAACATTGTTGTTTTATATGTTTAAGTAAAACTCTAGAACAATTCTCCTGATAAGCTTAACATCATTATCGCACTTTGAACTCTCAAAAGTATCTGCATACGTCGAATTTCGTTACAAAAATACTCAAAATTTGAGTCGGTAACTCCCTATTTTTTTTAATTATTTGACTAAGTATACATTTTAAAGGACGTTTGAAGAAAAAAATCAAAAATTTATTTCAGGAATTTTTTAATAAACCGCTTTAAAGCCGAAAATTGGGGCTAAACTGAACGTCAAATTTTACTCAAAATTGACAATTTTCTTTCCATTTCTCAAACATTTTTCGGGGTAAAAAAATAAATTTTATAACAGCTTAAAGGAAAAGATAATTTCCGTCGAATGCTGTAGGATTTAAGATATTTTGTCGTTGAAATACCTGTAACAGTTGCCAAGGATACGTAACGATGTCGTTCAAAAACGGGCTTTGATGGTCAACTTTGACGTCATGTGTACAAAAATTGGCTGAACCATTGAAATAAAATCAACGAAATCCAATTAGAAATATGGTCAATTTTTTACATGCTGATTTTCAAGACGCAACTCGAAAGTTCGCAATGTGTCGCGTTCTACCTTAAGTATAGTATTTGTCATTGTTTTAACGCATAAAAGTGTCTCTTTACCCATGAACAGTCAAAAACAGACTAAGTTGTCAATAAATAATTATAATAAATCGTTAAGTTAACTATGGTGCTGAGACATATACTTTCTTTTTATCTCGTAAGAAAAGGATTTACATACTTTGTATTTACTCATTTGTTGAAATAAGTGTCACTTATTGTAAAATCTCAATATTTAATTACCGAATACCAATTTATGATAACAAAACTGTCTTTTATATAACACTCAATGAATACTTTAAAGCTGTTTTTATACCCAACCCTCTTTTATATAACTTGATTTGTGTGTTTCCGTCTTAATATGTGTTAAGCAAGACATTTCGAAAAACCTATTAGTATTAATATTTTGTTACTCAGTTTGTTGATGCAAACAATTTCTGGTGACAATAACTTGTATTCGATAATATATCTGAAACCCCCATCACTTTGATAGTTTGTTTCTATATCTACATACAGTGCCTTGGTATGAAACATTTTATTTACAAAATAATTTTAACAAATAAATAAACGAACGAAATAATAAAAAAACAGCAATTGTCTTTAAAATGATAAAGCCTGCAGTACATGAAAAAGTACACAGGATATTGTTTTACCAATTTACACAAAACTTTTTAACATTGTTATAGACACAGGTTATATGCCCTCATCATAGCTTAATTAACATATCGTTCCATAATTCAAAACCAAAGGTGATCCAACAGAACCATCCAATTACAGACCGATAACTTTACTA